AAGAGCTATTTTTCATTCATGCTATATGGAGTCCTCGGAATGTCTTGATTTATTTGTCTGATTATTTATGACAGGGTTTCACCACATAGTTTGACTGTCCTCAAACTTGTGATCCTCCTGCCTTTGCCTCCCAAGTGCAGGGATAACAAGCAGGCATTGCAATTTCTAGCCCAAGAATTTCTTGGAGACAGAAAATTTGCTGAGATGGTATGGAATTCTCACATAGTCCTCACCCAGCTTCCTTTAAAGTTAACCTCTCACATAACTGTGGTACAGTTATTAAAAATAAATAGATGGGGCTGGGTCCTGTACGTTTTCCCTGCCAATAAACTCTTTCTGGCCAGAAAAAAGGAAAAAGAAAAGAAAAAGAAAAAAAAAATAGATGGGGTTGGAGAGTTGACTCAGTGGTTAAGAGCACTGACTGCTCTTGCACAGGACCAGGTTCGGTTCCTAGCACCCTCATGGTGGCTTACAACTATCTGTGACTCCAATTTTGGAGGATCCAGTGTCCTTATCTTCATGGACATTGCACACATGGGTGCATTTACATACATAAAGCCAAAACACTCATATATGCAAAATAAATATATCAAAAAATAAATAAAAATTGACAGTGGTTAGGGCTGGAGAGATGGGGCTCAGCGGTTAAGAACACTGTTCTTGCAGAAGACCCAGGTTCGAATCCCAGCACCCACATGACAACTAACAACTGTCCGTAACCCCAGTACCAGGGGATCCAACAGCCTCTTCTGACCTCCGAGGGCATTGCATGACACGGGTGCACTTACCTACATGCAGGCAATACATACATACACATAAAATTTTTAAAAAAAATTAAAAAGAAAAACTTAGAAAAAAGTTAAAAAAAAAATTGACAGTGGTACAATATTATTAACTATAGACTTTACTCTTTAGTTTTTCCTCTAACAAACTTTTTTTTGTTTCTCCAGGACCAGCCAGTGCCAGTTATCTCATTATATTCAGTGGTCATTGTCTATTCTCTTTCCTTCAGTTTGTGAGGAGGTAACTTACATGACCTTCATACTTGAATTTTTTTTTTTTTTTTTTTTTTTTTTTTTTTTTGTCTTTTTGAGACAGGGTCTCCCTTGTAACCCCAGCTGTCCTGGAACTCACTATGTAGACCAGGCTGGCCTCGAACTCACAAAGATCTGCCTGCCTCCCAAGTGCTGGGATTAAAGGTGTGCGCTACAGACCCGGCAATACTGGAAATTTATTTTATTTATATTTGTTTATTTTTGCTTTTTGGAGACAGGGTCTCACTGTGTAGCCCTTGGCTGGCCTGGAACTCACAGAAATCTGTCTGCCTTTGCCTCTTGAGTGTGTACCATACCCCACTGGCATTTATCATTTGAAGGGTACTGTTTCTCCACTGTAGAGTGATTGCTTTTTCCCCAATATAGGCTGTTGCTTAGAAGCACGCTAATAAGGCTAGAGAATTAAGGTATGCTCATAGGACAAAAGAATTTTTGATCCTAAGATAAAACTACCAATTTATTGGTTAAAAACAGTAATGAGGGGCTGGAGAGATGCCTTGGCAGTTAAGAGCGCTGATTGCTTTTGCAGAGGACCCAGGTTTGATTCCCAGCACCCACATAGTGGCTAGCAATCATCTGTAACTCCAGTTCCAGCGATCTGATGCCCTCTTCTGACCTATGCAGGCATTGCATGACATAGGTGCACTTACACATATCCAGGCAATACATTCATACACATCAAATAAAAATAATAAAATAGTAAAAAAAAATAGTAGTAAATCTTTTAGAGGAGATACCAGGGGCTCTGCTAGTATCTGATTCTCCTCATTTCATCCATTAATTTTAGCTTCTCTGGGTGAATCTTGCTTTAACAGTGATTTTTCTATCTCAATCCTTCTCTGGTTTATTAATTAGTATACAGCAAGAACAAGCTGTTTTTCCCCTATCAGTGATCCAGTGGAGAATTTTTTTTTTTAATTGAGTTTGGTTCTCAGTGTGAGCCTATTTTCACCAGAAACATCCTTTTTTTTTTTTTTTTTTGATCTTTTTGAAACAGGGTTGCCCTGTAGCCCCCGCTGACCTGGAACTCGCTAAGTAAACCAGGCTA